TATATATATATATATATATATATATATATATATATATATATATATATATATATATATATTAGCGCCGGTCGATGGACTGCTGCTGTTTCCAGATGCCATCTGCTGCTCGTTGGCGAGAACTACCGTTGGCCCGGTGGGCGAAGATGCAGTGCAGAGCAACAGTGACGCAGGCAGGTATCGAGCCACCGAAGCAGCAGAGAGGAGCATACGAACAAACAGACGCAACGCAGGCCACAGAGGCAAGCGGTTGACGAGCAGCGAACACAGATACAGAACCCGAATGGCAAACAGCAGAAGAGAAAGGACAGAGACAAACAGTGCAAGTGCAGCTGTGCATGCTGGCGACGAAACTTCATTCACCTAGAAGTCTGCTCTGCCGCCGCCGCTCACATCTCGCATGTGTAAAAAAAACAGCGATGCAGATAGCTGCTAAAGACTAATAACCGCCAACACAATGGCGTATGCAAATGAACTGAATGAGCAGCAAAGAAGGCGCGGGATATAAGCAAGAAGAGAGGCAAAACGCAAACAACAAAGAAACAACTGAACCACTGATCGCTGCGTTGCCCTGAAGCCGTCTTCTTCATCTACGTGCACCGGGCGGCCCGCCCTCTTTGGGGCCTCCAGGGTCTCCACTGCTCAGGTTCCTGTTGTTGCAGCTGCTGCAGCTGCTGCTGCTGTCGTTGAGCGGGCGACGAGCGCCACGCTGCCGTTCTCTGGGTGGCCTTGCCTCCAGCTTTGCCTAGACACAGCCCCACCTGCCTCAGTTGCTCTTCCTGCTGCTGCCCGCTCGGCAGGGGCCCCTGTCGTTTGCATGCAGCGCATGAGCAGCAACCGACGATAGGGATCCAGTCAAACGGCGTCATCAGCAGCTTGGGTTGTTGCTGTAGGGCGTCTAAGAAGAGGCCCCTCAGGTAGCTGCATGCACACAAAGTAAACGCAAACACACAAACCAAACACCCCGCCGCATTCCAACCCCCACCACTGCAGTGTACACACAGCTCGACGCCTCCCCTCCCAGCAGCAGCAGCAACACCAGCAGCAGCAGCAGGAGGAGGAGTAGTAAGCAGCCCAGCGACGCAAGGAAAAGAAGAAAGAAGAAACCTTATAAAGACTTACTTATGGTCTGGAGCATCCGCAAAGTGCAGAGCTCGGCAGTAG